AAAAAGAAAGAAAAAGGACCTCGGGTTCTATCCTCAGTACAGAAAGAAAGGAAGGAAGGAAGGAAGGAAGGAAGGAAGGAAGGAAGAAAGAAAGAAAGAGAAAGAAAGAAAGAAAGAAAGAAAGAAAGAAAGAAAGAAAGAAAGAAAGAAAGAAAGAAAGAAAATCTACTGAACCAGAATCTCCAAAATATCGGGTTCTTAAGAGTTTCAACGTGGTTTTTTTCCATTTTTTGGTGTTTTGAGACAGGATCTGCCTGTGTAGTTCAGGGTGGCCTTGAACTCACTATGTAGCTCAGGCTGGCCCCGAACTCATAGCAAACCTCCTACCTTAGCCTCCTGAGTGTTGGGATTATAGGCGTGCACCACCACGCCCAGCTCCATGTGGTTACTAATAAAAGTAGAACATAGATTGACATTGAAGAAATCCTTTTTCAAGTACAGTATAATATTTATGTAACATACAATTCTGAATTAGAAAAAGCAAGTTTTTGTTTTTTTGTGCCAATCTCGAAATATAACCCTGCAATGAAAAAGTCAACTACATGAAGCTATAAGGATACTGTAAAGGTAGGCTTATATATATCATATCCTACATTGGACAAGGTCTTGGCAATCATCTGGGTAGTCACCTTCTTTTGACGCAGAAAAATTTTCATCCGTGGCTTCATATATAGAATACTACAAAATGCCTATGGAACAGTGAAGAGAAGGTCATTATGCCATATTGCCAGTTGTACTGATATCCCCATAAAACACTGCTAGCTAAGTACATCTCTTCTGGACAAAGATATGGTTCAGTTTCTATACCTTGTCACATTATGTCAACTACCACACTAAAAATGCTGCTGACTATGTTAGCTAAACTATCTGAATGGAGATCTAAAAAGGAACCCTAAAAGGTTGTCATCTTTATATAACTGTACTTCAGTTTTCTTCTATAATATTTTCATGTTATAGGAAATCTTACCTCTCATTGTTGAAGAAAAGCAACCCTTACTCACCCGTAAGGAATACTCTGTTTCTGGCAGCTCAGAGGCAATGCCATCAGTCTCTTTTTCTTCTGCATCAATGTCTGATATCAGGATATCATATTGATCTGTATCAAAGTCTAACTCAGACTTTCCATCTTTGTTTCTGGGTAAAAGAAACAAGTACCAATCTAACAAAAACTTGTTCCAAAGGACAAAAAAGCACTAGGAACCCAAGAGAGAAGAAACAATATGAGCCAATATCAGGTATGTTTTGTTCTCCCCTGACCACCATTGCAAAGAAACTATAAACCATTTAATTTGTGGATCACACATATTTAAGGCATTTCTGGTCTAAACAAATCTATTATGCTTCATAGTGGCAGTGATGCCAAATTTGTAAGAAAAGAAAATATTTGAAAATTTCTGTAATTTGATAAATCAAATGGATGTCAGCTAGCTTCAAACAGGCTCTTAAAATAGATCCCAACTTTCTGGGTATTGCTGGATAAGTAGCTCAGTATTACTTTCCCCAAATGAACAGATGAAACAAAATCTACTTCTACTAACTTCAGCAATAGTATAAGGACTAATGAGAAACTAATACTTCCCCAGATCTAATCAATTATTTTAAAAGAAAAAAAATCACAGAAACAGTATGTATTTACTAGTCCTCAAGAGCATGATTTATGGAATTAGTATTTAAATATAACAGCACTGATATTAGCACTTAAATATAATAGCACTGATATTCATAAGAACCTTTTTTTTTTGGTACCAGGGATCAAACTTGGGACCTTGTGCTTGGAAGGCAGGCAGTGGAACCTCTGAGCTATATGCCTGGCCCCATAAGAACCTTTCTTATACCTATAATCTTTTGTGGTCACTTAGCATTGGTCCATTCTAACACCCTGAACTACATCATTAACCACTGCCAGGGAAAAAAAGATAAGGCCCATCTTTGTTCCTGGAAAAACTCAAAACAAATGATGGGTCATACAGAAAATGTTAAGTATCAGAACAACAGTTCTAAAAATTTGCTCTGTGGAACAGTAGTTCCTGGAGATAAATAAGAAATAAATAAAAGTTGTATGATCAAATAAAACAGAAAAAAGACCTCAGAGTAACCTCAATTGATACCTCTGTCATACTTTAGGCTCCACAAGCTCAAAGCTGCTGTGTTAAAAATTCAGCTCTATTCTCAGAACTGAACCAAGGCTCCTGTTGCATGTGGCCTATAAAAAGCCCAGGCCATTGTAATAGTATAGTCCGGATTTTCCAGGATAATCCTGATTCTCACTACCCCACTCTACTCTACCACATATACGCTGAGATAGTTCTCTGACTTCCATGCCCCTCATCTTCCCCATCCAAGAGAAAGAGGTCTGAAATTAGGAAATACTACATACTATATTGCTCTCTTAAGTATTTTCAATGCAAATTAGCATATAAAAGCCTGAAAAGACTTTAACCAAAACAATACAGTAGGCTGTCAGCTTTTCCCAAATTTGACCACACAATCCTTTTTTTCTATAACACCCAGCACCATAAAACTGAGAAACAATGTACAAAGGAAAAAATCTCCTTAATATGTGTAAATCTTTGGAAATCCCTCAGGAAATTGATCCTTTGTAATACAAATTATATTACAGTATTGAGGCTTTCCTAGCAGGACACAAGGAAGATCTTTGTGGGTTCTCCTTACTTTTTCTTTTTAATTGCTAAGTATTCTTTGTATAAATCAGTATTGCTTAGTTTTACTCAGCTAAGAAACAAGACAAAATGCTTGGCTTAAGTGGAAAAGGAAAAATGAATATACCTAATATTCTGTTCTATTAAACATACCAGTAACACCTCTATTTTATATGAAAGGCTTTGAGGTTTTTAGTGTTTAGGTTTTATTCCATTTGGCATGACAAAATTAAACAAATAATACATCAGAGAGTATTTCTTGATTGTTTTATTAGCTCTAAAGAAACAATCTTAAGATAGCCTCATTATAGACAAAATTGTTCTGCTTCAAGGATTTTGGCACTTTTACTCTAGCCACTCTAAAAGCACTACACAGAGGTCCTTTTTATAAAGATCATGTTTTGCTACTCTAATATCTCTTTCTCATACATCATTATTGTTAAACATATAAAATAGCTATCATTTACCAATGTCAAAACAAAGTTCACAATATGAAATAGGTATATCTATAATGGATTCTGGGGATGTTAGGATAACATTGCATTATCTTTTTTTTTCTTTTTGGTACCAGGGATGGAATTAGGGACCTTGTGCTTGAAAGGCAGCTGGCTGAACCACTGAGCTAAATCCCTGACCCAACATTGCATTATCTTATCTGTGGCAATAGCCCCAGGGTATGGATGTTTTCACCTTAAATGCATAGCATTTATCAACAAGAACCCCTATCTCAAACATTACTAAGAGAAAGTTAAGCTATGAGATAGAAATATGTAACAAAATTTATCTACTCTCTTCTATAAAGATTTCTTAAAATGTGCTTCCTCATAATACCTTTGCTTATCAGAATCTACCACTCTTGGAATACTATACCTTCGGATGTTCCAAATGAGAACACGAGTGCCTTTTTTGCCTGGGATGGCATCAAACTGGGATAGCAGGTCGTTTTCACTGTTGAAAATTGAATAGTTCAAGATGGCTTCTAGACTGGGCAAGGAATCCTCAGTAATAATCATTTTTTGTAAAACCAAATGCAGTCAAAGAAAAATTATTATTGTAAGATGCTACCAGGAAGGAAAAGCACCTTTTGGGTTGCATGTTTAGACACAAAAAATATATAGACATTAAATATGGGCATTACTGCTACAGAAGAAAGGAAAAGGGGAAAAGGAAAAAATGGAGGTTGTAGAGGCAAATATCAAAATCAGTTACACCTGCAAAACACAGCCTCAAAGATGCAGTGTAAATAAAGATAGTGCTATATTTATGAGAAAAGATCAAGTGCTAAATTTTTAAACTATTTGGAAGCAATAAGTTCAAATCCTAACTGCTATGCTGCTCCCATCAAAACAATCTGATATCTAACAGAAATAATAGCTTGTCTAGGTATAGGAAAATGAGCTATTCTGCTATCAGATAAACTACAAATAGTATTTTTTAGGAACATAAACACAAATGTAGCTAGCCTTAGGGGCAAGAAAAGAGAAGGCCCTGGAAACTACCATGGGATAGTTGGAAAGATACCACACATAAATCAAACTGTATAACAATGAAAATTTCAATATAGCAAAAGCATCTCTAAGCTTCTATCAATGGTCCACTTACTTTAAAAATATTTAATACAGAAAATTCCAGTTAAACTTAAGACATTTGAGTACCTCTTTATATATGAAAACTTATTTGAAATACATGATATCAAAAGCACTAGATTTGACCTGAAAAAAGAAGTTTTTGTCAAAATAGTCAGATTAGACTGATTTTTAACCAACATTCTCCATTTCCAGAAAGGATATTGTTTTGCTGGTTGAATGGAACAATTGGTACAATAACTGCCTGGGCCTGGACACATTCCAGATAAGTCTGTGATAGGAGTCCAACAGTGAGAGTACCCCCATTCTTGGTGAAGACAAGAGCATCCTTTCCTAGCCGCATGGAGCCTGACTTGAAACCATTACCAAAGACCCCGATGGGACACTGGCTCTTCTTTATTACTTTATCTGTAAAGCCAAAGCTGTAATTATAAAAGAAAAGAGAAATCTGAAGAAGGAAATCAGGAAGGTTAAAAAGCATCCTAAGCTACGTTACAGGCCAAATGTTTAGTTTACACATGAAGAACATTTGTACAAGTTCCTCCTTTTTTATTTCTTATGGTATTCCAGGAAAAAATATTAAGTTTAAAAACATAGGAAATTATCACTGGGGTAATGGCATTGATTTTCCTATGCGGTTTATGTGTAAACAGTTCCACTTCCTTAGAGTCACACTTTCAAAAATGTAAAGAAGGACCACATTTTCACTGGATTAACAAAGACAGCTAGAAAAGGCCTTGTGTAGCTAGCTGCCTTCTTGTCTAGATAAAATGGCCCTAATTCCTAGAAGTGAGAATAAGGTTCACAGGGTAGTTACCTAGAGAGAGTAACAAAAGTATCCAATAGTGGCACTAACCAAAGGTACTAGACTGGGGATCTCCTAACCTGGTTATGCCTAGAAATTGGAAAGACAGAGATCATGTATTTTTTTGGTGGGGGGAGGAGACAGGGTCTCGCTATGTAGTTCAGGCGGGCCTTGAACTCACAGTGATCCTCTTGCCTCAGCCTCCCAAGTGCTGGGATCAGAGGTGTGTGCCACGGCCCTAGGCGTGATCGTGTAAGTATCTTGATAATTTTAACTCTCTACCCAAATGACGAACCTTTCAATCCTTACCCTTTGCTCCATCTGCTGGGAGAGTTCACTGGAATATGACCAAAAGATAAAAATAGGTAGTTCTGTCTCTGAATGTCTGCAAACAGCTGCAGTATAAAATCTCTCTTGTTCTATTAAGGGCCTTTCACTGAGTCACCTCAGCAAACTCTGTAGCCTCTTATAATCAGCTTAATCTGGGAGTCAGAACCTTTTCCTTCCTTTTATTTTCCATCCAAACACACACCAAAATAATAGAAACTAAAAAATTCAAAGATACAAAATCTAGAAAATTATGATCTTTCCTTTAAATCTTTCTTCACATCAAATACAACTATTTTTAAGGATTCTTTCTTTCCAGACTAATTTTAAAATGATGCACACTATCATGTATTCAATTAGTATTTATTGAGCACTTACCATGTGCTATGCATTGTGGTAAGCACTAGAAATACAATTGTTACTAAAAGAGACATGACTCTTGTCCTCACAGCTTATAGTCTAAGGAAGGATTTCATAAGAGAGATTAGACACTTATGCAACATCAATAAAATAGACTCTGTATGCCAAACTGTGCAGCTTAGTCTTGGCTTTTCTCTTCCAAGCAAAGACGACTGATGCACCTGTTTTCCATTTCCTACAGGCTGTGGTTTTTTAAGAAAGGGAACCACTTTTCAATTTTCTATCTCAAAGTATTATGAAATAATACAATTTTGTCCTTTAAACTAGGTAATTTCTCCTACAAATAAATGTAATGACAGGGAAAGGTAATTTCTAGGGAAGTAGTCCTTCAAAAATCCCTAAAGAGCACTGAGTTAGTACTGTCTGTGAGCCCTAGTATTCCAGGAATAGACTTATAAATTGGTAAGATTCAGACATTCTCATCTTACTTATGTGGAAGAATTAGCTAGGAAAGGGGGGGTGTTGTTATGTGGATTAAATTATATACTGTATGCAAACTGTGTTCATTATACTATTCAAACCTTTTAAATTTAAATTTTTATTTTATTTTATTTTTTGGTACTGGGGATCGAACTCGGGACCTTATGCTTGACAGGCAGGTGGTGGAACCACTGAGCTAAATCCCTGGCCCTAAGTTTTTATTTTATTAGTACATGTTTGTAGTACATGAAGTTTATATCCATCTCAGGAAACAGGTACATGTACATGACACAGCTTGATTCTTTTTAAATCCTCTTTCCCTTTCCATCCACCTCCCTTCCTCTGCCTCTAAATCCCCTTTCCCCAAACTTAAATTTTCTTTTTTTTTTTGAGACAGGGTTTCACTATGTAGTCCAAGTTGGCATCAGACTCTTGGCAATCCTCCTGCCTCAGCCTCCCAAGTGATGAGATAATAGGTGTGTGCCACCATGCTCAGCTCCAAACTTTAATTTTAAACTAACTGTAGAAATCATCCTGAGAATTGTCGTGTGCTACTCCATACCTCTATTTTAGATACAGTGTCACATCTAAAACTCAGAAGTCTTGATACATAGGAGTCTTATCTACCATATGAAACAAATATATATGGTTATTTGAACTCGTGGCAATCCTCCTGCCTCAGCCTCCTGAGTGCTGGGATTACAGGTGTGGGCTACCATGTCCGGCTCAATTATTTTAAAAGAAGTTGAGGTAAGTGGAGTTCTTGGTAAGAAGTTAGCATGACTAAATTATCCTTCATATTTCACTTTAAATGTTTCACAGTATCCTTTTTTGATTCCCTAGGCTAGATTAGATTCCTCTGTTCTATATTCTCAAAAGAAACTCTACTCTTCTTTATAGACTTCCCCCTGGGTAGAACAGCCTATGTAGTTGTATTACTAGTGAACTTTTCTTTCTCACTAAACTGTCAGCGCTTTGAGAGCAAGGATTTCTATTTGGTTCTCAAATTTATTTTCCAGTATTTTGCACATAACACTCAGTAAGAATTCATTGAATGGATACGTGTGTGAATATGGAACAAAAATTGTTGTAATTATTTAAAAACCATCCTCTTCTTTATTCCAACCTTATAACCATACCAATTTTCACATATATAGTTCCACAGACAAATAGAAGGTGATTAGATTTGCTGAGCCTACTGTTTGACACCCATGTCACTGGGATAAGGCGTAGTGGAAAGGAGTAATTAAGAAGATAATTGATTTTAGGGGAAAATTGATAATTGCTTTTAGTACATACTGAACTAAAATTATCTTTTAAAAAAAATTTTGGTACATGTTTACAGTACATAATGATTATGTTCATCATTGGGAACTGGTACATATACATAACATGTCTTAATTTTTTTTTATATTTAGGAGATAAAATTGATTCTATAAGTTAAAAGATAGGACCAACTCTCTACTTTCACCAACATACTAGTTACATTTTTGTCTCAATTCTAGAGGCTTTCCTCAAACATTCTTCTAATTAGGAAAAGTTTGAGACACAAGTATACATACTGCTGAGCAGTAAAATATAACCACTTATTTTGAGCAAATTTCATTTTGTTTCTTTGATGGATCAAAGGAATTTCCCTACAGTGTTATTGATTTAGAATTCCTTCAAAGAGCACTATGACCAAGCGAATTTGTTTTCCATTTCTAGGTTTCTGAGCCCTTTCCCTCCTCCTCAACACCCCTCCATTGTTATTTGTGCTTCACACACTCTAGTGCGGGAAGCCACATGGACAGTAATCAACTTCATCTTCTAAAAAGGAAGAGAGAAGGAAGGAGTTGAGGAAACACTCATTTTGCACTGAATGATATGTGAAGATAATACAGTACAAATTTACATTCTCAACTACAAACCTTTTAAAGTAATTAAGTGGATTGAGAGTGGCAATAGAAATTTGTCACCAGCTTTAACAGAAGAATTTCCTAACTTTGCAATTCCACTGTAAAATTTTCAAATATTATATGTGTAAATGTCTTGTATTTATCTTTTATGAGGTTTGATTATACTTGGGCACCTTCATGGTTCTGATCCACCAATCATCCCAACTCCAATACTTCTGATTTAAGAGTGAGTTTTGGTTAATTAAGCATTGGAGGTTTCAGATTGGTGAAAGTCCCTAGGTCTTTATACTTGCTGTTCTTCTTGCCTGAACTCTCATTCTTTGCTCCCTGCTGCTTTCTATCTACTTAAATTCTGCTCACTCTTAGATCTCAGCATAAATACCATTTCATCTTGGAGGCTTTTATTAAACTCTAGCATCAGATTAGGTCCCCTGTTGACTCATCCCATGTATTCTATGCTTTCCTATCATACTTATTATGTTTTATTATGATCACTTGATTGTCTAATTGTTTGAATTTCCAGCTAGACTGTAAGTTCTGTGAGGGCAGGAACAATGTCTGTTTCATCATCAGTACCCTGGCACTAAGATATGCTTAATAAATATTTGTTGAGAAAATAAAAGGAAAGTAAAATATTAAAGAAAATAATTAAGCTTTAAATAGAATTTAGGAGCTCAAGATAAGAGAAAGAGAATGAAGACATTTTTACCTGAGCATTCGGTGAAGTTTGTGAGGTGTCATCCCACATCCATCATCAGTAAAGGTCAAACAAGATTTATTCTTGACCTCCTCAACATCTATGAAGACCGTCCTGGCTGATACATCTGGATCTACAGCATTATCTGTAAAAGGTAGAAATCTGTGGTATTAGATCCCCCTTCCAATATTCTATCAAAATCTCTAGTTCAGTGCCCACATGACATGGAAAATTGTCCTTTATTCCCCTCACATGGATGTCCCAGAAGTTAAGTGGGGGGCATTAATGGTATTGCATTTACTGAGAGAGAACAATAGATATGACAGAATTATGTAGCTGATTTCTAGATTTCATATGACTGATTTGGAATCTGCCTTTATTCCTTTAAACTTTAGGGTCTGTGGGAAGAGTACTCCTATTTATAAATCATTTTGCTCTGATTTTGCTTTATTCTTGTCTTTTAGCTACTTTACTACTCATGAACACATAAAGGGTGGCTACAAAGAAAGGTTGAATCAGCAATGTTAGTAAAAAATAGATGCACATTATACACTTTACAGTTGATTCAGGATGATTTTATTTTCAATTTTTTATATCACCTCCTCTGTTTAAAGAATGCAGACATTATCACCATCTCTTTTTATAGCATAAGGACCACTGAAAGTATCAGGAGTTAAAACACTTAATTGCCTGTCTAACTCCCAGTCATGGTAACAAGCATGCTTAGAGAGAAAAAGCAATTCTACTGTCTCTGTAACAATCTTAAAGCTGAGGTTGTTTACCATTTATGAAATGGAGAACATTGAGTAAAGAAAATAAAAAATAGATCACAATTCCTCCTGAGTTACATCTTCACAATGGGTTAACTATTTAAGGCTACAAAGATATCAACCTTAGCCATATTCTAACATATGCACCATATCCCCAGCCCCAGGGATGCCACTATCTAGTAGCTACATCTTTCGGCCACAGGTACTAGTTTAACTCTGACATGTGTGGCTCAAAAGTCTGATTAGGGTTCACTGGCCTGAGTAGAAGGGCAATCTGAACAAGCTGTTGGATAATGCTGTTGTTTGGATGTGGTTTATCCCCCAAAGTTCAGGTGTTGGAAACTTGGTCTCTAGTGTGGTAGTATTGACGTGGTGGAAGCTTTAAGAGGTGGGGCCTAGTGCAAGGTAATTAGGTTATTGGGGATGCTGCCCTTGGGATTTTAATGCTCTCAGGAATGATAGGACAGGAATAGTTCTGGCTACAGTGAGTTGCTATAAAGAGAGGCTACACTGTATGATTGGCCCTGTCTGCATGTAGCCCTATTCCCTTTTGGCTTCTCTGTCATGTTGTGATGCAGCTAGGGGCCCCTTGACAGGACACTTGTATCATGCTGTTTGGACCCTCCAGCCACCAGAATCGTGAGCTAAATAAACTTCTTTACTTATAAAGTACTCAACATCAGGTATTTTGCAATAGCAGCACAAAAAAGACTAATATCAACAGGGTCCTTAATCACTCCTGTCCCTATTAGATTTTTAAGCAAGATAGCAACCTTCCCTTCTACTCTATTCCCTTGGTCTGGCACCCTATACTAGTTTACTGCTACCACATACCTGGGCCAAGAGAGCCAGGTAGGGTCTTGCTTGTATACTTATCCAATTACCCCTAATCAAACCATGTCATTTTTCTGCTGGGAACATCCCTTATAACCAAGCAGAGTATTAACACATTCAAAATGCAAATTTTGACAATGCAATTAAGAGTTGATACTTACTTGGATGCGTGGAATGTCTACTAAATAAAACAAGACACAGATTAATTTCAAAAGCTACAATGGTATTGCTACAATCATTAACAAAACTGTCACTGATTATAACCTGAAAAAATCTGAACAGCTGTAAGGTATTACCAGTAAAGTGGGTTAAGAAGCCTGATAATCTTTAAGGGCCAGATGGGGCTTAGGCCTATATAACGTGTTAAGGTAAATGGGTTGTCTTTGGGCATGAGTTATAAGTTGGCATGCAGTAATGACTTTATCAGAAATATAGTTCTTTACTTTGAAAGAGGCAGCTTTTTCTTTCTTTATCTGATGAAAGGATTCAGCACCGTATAGCTGCCTATGTAATTCAAGAAATTTTACTTGGCAAGCAAGCCCTTATCAGTCACTCTTGCTAGTAGACAGCCAAAGACATTGAAACTGATAAACTTGTCAACCAATTGGACATCATTTATATATGGAAAACTTTGGGAATTGAAATTTTTTTCTAACACTTATGAACATTCCCAATTCAAACATATAACACTGTCAATTCCAATTACACATACAGACAACAGTTCCTTGAATCAATCAGCTCACAGGTCTCTAGGAAAATCACCTTAACTCTTTTCTTCTCTACGTCAAGTGTTACCCAAGCTTTACTTGATGTTGTCTTAAAGGAATATAACAAGTTTTAACAAAGGCACTTCAAGAGTTTAATAGTAGCTGCCAGGAGCAGCTAGATATTGTATCTCCTTGGCTGGAAGCTCAGAGTAAATGGGGGAGGGGACACATAAAAGGTCATGGTCAGCTGGAGCAGCAGGGAAAGTGAAATCAGTGGGCAGGCACAGCTTCCCACTTATCTCTGTTCTATGTTGCCTTTCACTTGGCCTCAACAAATGAAATTACAATAATAACAAGGTCGGCTTCAACAGATGAACTTATAATAATAAGCCACCAATCTGATAGCTGGTTTCATTCTACTTCTTAACCTTCTAAAAATTGGCGAACATGTAGCATACACTATCTGATACCAGGGAGTTCAACTTCTCCCCTAGCCCAGCCCACCTAGCCTATGAACAGGTAGGATGATGAGAGAACCCTTACTTCCCTCACCTCAGCGACTACTTAGGCAAGAGCTGCACTATCATAGCCTGAGGGTCTTTATCCACTAACCTAGCTATACAATCCCATTTGCTACCAATTCCCAAGGAGTCTTCTCTCTCCTAACCTGACTTGAGCTGTCCCTCACTGGGAGGTCCCTATCTCTACCTTCACATCACCCACTACTTTGGGGAATCTATCTTACACTCCAACCTGGTCCAATAATCCCTTGTCTTCTGAAAAAGCATTGTAATCAAAGCCTCATACTTCAGAACCTGGAGGCAATGAAAAACTGAATGACAGCCTGCCAGGAGAGCTTAAAATGGCTTTGACATAGTGCTTCACAAGCCTCCCATCCTTTCCAGTGGATACCGGCAAGGCGCCAAGTTATTGCCTTACAGACATCCTGCAAGTAGCTAAAAGTATTCTTGCCTGAAAGTAAGGTCATCACCTTCTGACACAAGCCTATTCTTTTTCTGTTTTACACACACACACAGTGTCCACATTCAAATGACTATAAGTTTGAAATTCAAAAGTCATTTTTAGAGGGTTAAGGGGTGTAGCTCAGTGGTAAAGTGCTCGCCAGTATACATAAAGCTCTAGGTTCAATCTCTAGCACTGTAAAAAATCGTTTTTAACTTCTTCCTCTTCCTGCCCTATATATCCTTAGACTCTCTTACATATTGTTTTTCTAATTCCCATTATCATTCTCTTAGTTCACAGTTTATTCCCTCTCAAGGTTATTGCAATAGCCTCCTAACTAGTCTTGCAAATCCATGTCTCTCTCTTTTCTCTCATATGTCTTACACATTGCTGCAAGACTGACTTCCCTAAAGCACAGTTCTGATCATGACATTTTTCTGGTCAGAAAACATCAGAGTGACACGTCAAATTCCAGAACCTTTCAGTCATATCCTAGTCCCAGCTCACCTTTCTAACCTCATTTCCTACTTGGTACTTGGAGTAAAAAGACCTGTGTTTGAGTCCTGGATCTGTCACTTAGTAGACATGCAACCTTGGAAATTAATTCTCTGAACCTCTGTTTCTTCATCTGCAGGATGAAAAAAAAATAATACTGTTTATTTCAAAGAGTAAAGTTAAAAAGATAATTGTGAAAGCTCTTTGTAAACTCTCTAAGGACCTATAATTTTTGCTACCTGTGAACTCTATGCTCTAATTATATTCGATGATCAGTATTCTTCATGTTTTCATTTATCCAGTTGTTCCTTTTGCCTGGAATGTCCTTCCCCCACTACATCCATATATCCTTCAAATTTCAGCTCAAATGTTACCTTCTCCACAAAGCTTTTCTTCAATCTCCACTTCCTGATAAATTGGAAGTCACTCCTCTTTCCTCTAAATTTCCATAGCACTTGTATATATCTTTGCTGATATATAATTTTCTATTTTATGTTATACAAAGCATGAACTTTCTGCACATGTTTTATCTCCCCTACTAGAAGCATGAATCTGTGTTGTATTCATTTTTGTACCTCCCACAGTAGCTTTGTGCACTGCAGATGCTCAATAAATATTTACTGAATGAATGTTCACTAGAAAAGTAATGCTTAAGTACAGAAAACTGTTGAAGGAAAACTCAAAATGAAAACTTTGAGTTACCAGTTAACACATTAATTTCTTTTTTTATATTATCACAAATATACGTGATATGCTTTTAAAATTTGTGTTTGTATATATGCATATAATATACACACATATTGACACTCATGTTGGTCATCTTAGGCCAAACCCAGGTTCTTTAAAGTTAAATGGTTAAGACAATCATATGTACTTAAAATTACAAATTGAAAACTCATTGAATCACCTATATAGTATGCATAGTACAAGGTGCAACTGTGAAAGAACAAGATATTTCTCACAACACGTTTCTGTCTCCCATCTCCCACTATGTTCATTGTTAATTCTCCCTTTTTGTCTTTTTTGTAAGTTATATATACATAGATCTTATGCCCCTCTTCAGATGTTCAGTGGAAGCATGGTACAAAACCTAAAACAATTCAAAACATACCAATGCCACTTTCTCTTCTGCATCTTCTAATTGAGTCATAAATGTAAATCATTTGATGTTATAGTCAAACTAATCATCAAAATTTTCCATCACCTTCCAAGTAATTCTCCTGACTCTCCTGCTGCCCTCCAGCTTCTAGACTATAACAACTCTAATGGCACAGCCATAGCTATGGCTTAAGCAGGGCCTGGGGCTTATTCAGGGAGTTTTGAAACTTTTCCAAGATTTTCTGTGCTACCTAGTTCCATAAATCTTTCTCCTTTCTTTCAATTTTTGAAGCACTTATAATGAGCTCTGTATGCTGTTGCATTTAGTGCAGGATTGTTTTTCTACTTTCCACACAGTATTTAGCACACTCCTTCAAAAACTGGTGTACTTGGCTTCAAGGAATCAACTGAAAACGCTTTAAAAGCAAACACCAGCAGAGGGAGAGGTTTCTATGTCCTCAGTATTCATTCCAGCGGTGTGAGGGCGCTCGTGGACTACAGACTCAGTCCTCCGCAGTCTCAGGGAGCCAAATGCACTCGTGTCATCTCTTAAAAGATGTCCCATCATTCCCAGATGTTCTTGTCTCAAAAGTTAAAGAACTCTCTTTTTCAGACCTTTTAATGACCCTACTTGGTCCTATACAAGACCCTCTTGGTAGCTAGGAGTTTTCCGTTGGTCGCCAGCCCCTATTGGATCCCAGCTGCTTCGGGGTCCGATATTTTGTGCATCTCTTTTTGATTATTAACTAACCTATCCTAAAGTGCCCGGAACATCACGAGCCAGAGAGAGGACCATCACGTGCCAGGGAGAAAAAACGCACGGAGTTCTAACTCTTCTGATACACCTTGTTTCCTATGCTTTATTAGCCGAACCTCGTTCCTGGCGAGAGATACATTCCTCCTCCGCTGGCGGAGCTGGGGCCAGTCCCGAGGCCCCCACCTTCGCCTGACCCTCCCCACGCGGCTCCTCGCATTCCTCTAGAGTCTAGACTTCAGCACCACGCTGGCACCACGGCCTTGGGCGATCACGGCCGGGCCCGCCCTCGCCACTCACCTAGCAGCTCCGCGATGGCACTGAAGGGTCGCGTGTGGCTGCTGGAGTTGCTCTGTAGGTAGCGGGGGCTCATCTGGGGGCGAGAGAAGGTCCCGTCCCGCATGAGGCCTCAGACTGCCAGATCCTTCCCGGGCGCCCCACACCCCCGGGGCCCGCGCGCACGTCTGCCCCCTCGGGCCCCAGACCTACCGTGCTCAGGCGGATTCCAAAGGCCTGCGGGCCACCGCCCGCCCGAGTCAGCCCGCCGCCAGACGCGCTAGGGCCCCCGGGGGCCCCTCGGTACAAGAGCATTATTTTGGCGGCCACGGTACTCGTTTGCTGCTGCCGGACTCCTCGCCCGGCAGTCTCGGACCGGCCCTCTCTCACTCCCTCTCCCTCTCGCAGCTGGAGGCGGCCGTCCCGGACTGGCCCTCCCTCGTTTCCCCAGCAGCTGGCGGAGGCGGGGCGCACTCCAGCCACCTGTCCCCCGCGGGAGGGGTGAGACCAGCTGAGCGGAGCGGCGGCCCCGCCCTATCAACACCTCTCCAGACTCAAAGACTGCCAGGCTTGCCTCAGGGCCGTACAGAAATATGGCGACCTCCTGACAGCCTCTCCTAGATCCCCGCCCCTAATTAATTCTTGGCGTTTGCCATAGGCCAGCAGGCGGAGCGGGAAAGTGCGTGAGGGGGTGGGGCGGGAACGAGGCTGGAGGAGGGACAGGTTGCATGGGATTTCTGGAACCAAGTCCCACTTAGGCTGCATGAGAAATGGGCAGGATAAAACAGGTCTTTCAAATTATAAAGACTGCAGTTTTTTTAAAAAAAGATTGCAGTTTTGCTATCTGGGAAGATAGCAGGCTCCCTTGAAGATAAGCATTCTGACTGCCTCAAATGTCTCTGGAAGTATCCAGAACTTTCTAGAATGCAATAAGCAAACTACAAAGCCTTGTAAGCCTGCAGGAAATCTGTTCATAAAGGGGGAAACTGGATTTACTTAAATACTCTACTGCCAAATAGTAGATTGATTAAGTTATAGAGCAACCATGAAAAGAAATAGTATGCAATTTTTTTTTTTGATACCAGGGATCAAACTTGGGACCTTGTGCTTGCGAGGCAGGCGGTGGAACCACTGAGCTAAATCCCCAGCCCTAGTATGCAATTCTTAAAGGCCATGTTTGTAAAGCAATCTTTATTTTATTGTATATTTTATAATTATATTGTATGTTAAGCATATTAAATATTGTATATTTTATAATTGTGTATATATGAAGTACAATTTGATATTTCAACACAAATATAGTGTATGTTGATCATGAGGGTAGTTAGCATATCCATCATCTCATGCATTTATAACTTCTTTGTAGAGAAAACATTCTCTCTTTTAGCTATTTTGAAATATGCAATACCTTTATTGTTAACCATAATCACTCTGCTATGCAGTAGAGCACCAGAACTTATTCTTCCTATCTAACTTTGTACCCATTGACCACCCACTCCCCATCCTTGGCTCTCCCAATTTCCAGTCTCTCCAGGTAACCACTATTCTACTCTACTTTTATGAGATCAACTGTTTTTACAGTCCATATATGACTGAGATCATGTGATGTTTGTTTTTCTATGTGTGGCTTATTTCACTTAACACACTATCCTCCAAGTTCATCCCTAACTCCAATGACGATTTCATTAATTTTTAATGACTGAATACTCTACTAAATAGTATTCCTTTTTTTGTCTTCATTGCTGGGGGGTCAATCCAGGGCCTTGGGTAAGCTGGGGAAATGCTTCTGCCACTCCCAGTCTAGTATTCTAATTCTGTTGGGCATTTCAGTAGATTTCCAAGTTTTGGAACAGTGCTGCAATAGACATGAGAGTGCAGATGTTTCCTCAACTTACTGATTTCATTGCCTTTGGAGATAAAGATATATATCTATATCTCCAGTCCTGGGATTACTGGATCATATGCTAATTCTATTTTAAATTTTTGATTAACCTCCTTTCTGTTTTCTATAATGGCTGTATTAACTTACCTTCTCACCAACAGTGTGTAAAGGTTTCCATTTCTTCACATCTTTACCAGAACTTTTGTTTTCTAACTGGAGTGAAGTGGTATCTCCTCATGATTCTGGCTTGCATTTCCCTGATGATTAGTGATGTTGGTTATTTTTCATACACCTGTTGGCCTTTTGTATGCATTTTTTAAAAAGTATCTATTCAAGTCTTTTGGTCGTTTTAAAATCAGGTTATTTGTTTATTTATTTATTGCTAAGTTTCTTATATATTCCAGATGTTAATCCCTAGATAGATATTTATTGATGTAAAAAAATTCACAAAGGAATTAAGGAAACAAGAGGTTATAACATATTGTGTAACATTTAATACCTCTTTATTGTAAAATCAAGGATTGAATATACACATGCATATACACATATGTATACATACATAAACAGTCATCTTTTTGTATCTATGGGGGATTGGTTTGAGGATGCCTGCAAATACCAAACTCTCTAGATTACTTATAATACCTGATACATATAAATGCTATGTAAATTATTGTTATATTGTTTAGGGAACAATGACAAAAGAAACTTGTACTTGCTCAGTACAGACAAAATTTTTTTCTGAATATTTTCAACTGCAGTTGATTAATTCTGGATGCAGAAACCACTGACACAAAAAGCCAACTATATACTCACACAATGAAAAACATTTAATATATACCAAGATGATATTTCTAGGTCTGGAATTATGAATTTTTCCCCTTTTTATCTGCATTTCCTAAATGTTGACCTACAAATATACCCTAATTATGGAAAAATTTAATTTTTAAAAAAGATAACATTCCATGGCAAGAATGAACCATTATTTATTTATTTATTTATTTATCCATTCAAGTTTTTTGAGAAAGGGCCTCGCTTTGTAGTGTAGGCTGGCCTTGAATTCATTATGTAGCCCAGATTGGCCTCAAACTCACAGCAATCCTCCTGCCTCAGCCTCCTGAGCACTGGGACTACAGGCATTCACCACCACACCCCACTGAACTATAATTTATTTGACCATTATGTTGTGATAATTTAGATTATCTTCAATGTTTTCTTTTGACAGTTCAAAAACTGCTACCTCAGACACCCCATGCACAGATCATTAATTTCTGGTACTTTTATTTCTGCAGAATAAATTCCAAAAAGTGAGATCACTGTATCTAAAATATGTATGTGGTTTAATATTTATAAATACTGTAGGATGGAGGTAATTTACCTTGCCAGCAACAGCCAGCTATTTGGCTTTGGGCATAGTCCCAATCTTTTAAATTTTGCCAATCTTTGAATAGGAAATAGTATCTCATTATTTTAGTTTGCATTTCCCTATCAGTAATGCTTAATATCTTTTCAAATGGTTATTGTATATTTGCATCCATCTCCTCTTCTATAAATGCCTGTTTTTATCTTTTAAGCATCATTTCCCCCCAGTGGGTCCTTTGTATTTGTCTTTTTTGTCATCTTTTTCTTTAATTTTCAAAAATAGAAGAAAGAGTAAAAAATAATATAATGAGTCTATATATACTTATCACTCCGATGTAGAAATTCTTGAGACTGCCATGCCAGATGCAATGGTCTGAATATTTGTGTCCCTCCAAAATTTGCTATGTTGAAGTCCTAACCCCCTAACATGATGGTATTAGACAGTGGAGTCTTTGGAAGGTAAGTAGCTCATGAGGAAAAGGGAACACAGAAACCTCTATCACCCTCTTCCCTCCACAGGAGGACACAAGAAGTCTGTAGTCTGTGAGTCAATCTACAGAAGAGAGCTCTAACCAGAATTCAGGCATGCTGGCATCCTCATCTCAAATTTCTAGCCTCTAGAACTGTGAGAAATAAATTTCTGTCTAAGTCACCTAGTGTATGAGACTTTGTTACAGTAGCCTGAACTAAGACACCTACTTTATATATCCTTTTCTTCTTTTTTATTTTTGAAAGCATTTTAAAGCAAATCTCCAACATCATATCATTTTATCCTATATACTTCAGTGTCTTCCGAAAACAGACATTTTCTAACCAATGTAACCAGTACACCATCTCCACATCAGGCAAAATTTATAATTCTTTGGTATCCTGTAATACCTAGCCCATACTCCTATTTTCCCAGTTGTCTCAAAATATCTTTTTGTAGTTGGTTTGTTTAAATCCAGATTCAAACAAGATGCACACATTATATTGGTTATATGCCTTAAATCTATTTAATTGAAAACAATCTTCCTTTTTTTCATGCTATTGCGTTGTTGAGGAAATCAAACCAATTGTACTGTTGAGTGCCCTACATTCCCATTTTTTTCTGTTTGCTTCTGTGTATTGTCAATTACCTTGCTTTTCTTTTCTTTTTTTTTTTTTTTTTTTTGGTACCCGGGGATCAAACTCAGGTCCTTGGGCTTGCAAGGTAGGTGGCGGAACCACTGAGCTAAATCCCCGGCCACCTTGCTCTTCTTATTAGAGAAATGAGTATAACTTAACCATAAATCATAAGTTGGTTCCACAGGCTTAAATAGATTCCAGATTTTTAAGCAGTAATGCTCAGATGGTGCTCTGTATTTCCCACTGCATCACATCATGAGGTATATAGTGTATAGTGCTTGGAGATGTTCAGGTTCATCACTAGGTTCAGGTAGGGGCAACTTGAAGCTTCCACTGTGAATCCTCCCATCAGTCTTTTACTTTATGGTTTCATCAGTTTGATGTTCATTGTTTAAAAATTATTAGCCCTGAAAAACTAATAATCTAATTCAGTGATGGCGAACTTTTTAGAGCTTTCAATGATACAAATATGGCCCGTATGCCATAGGTTTGCCACCACTGGTCTAATCCTATACTTTCTCCTATTTTATTAGCTGGATCCTTCTGTATAGAACTTACCCTCATCAACCATGGCTACTTGGTTTCTCTGTAGTATAATTCCTTATAGGAGATAAGGATAAATGTTTAAATATTTACATTTGACACTTTTTTAGGGTAAATAGTTGGGGCCTGTGGTGGATACTTTGATATGCCTTCCCATGTTCCATTTCAAGAAAGGATGTGTTCATTAAGCTCCTGAGAACCTGTGGACAAGCTACCTTCTGCTATTAGCTCCTTCAGGGATTCTCTCAAGTTCTGTGTGCCTCATTCAAAATCACAAAATTTTCAGAGGTAGCCCACAATGACTGACCAAAAGAGAATGTAAAGGCTTGACCATCTCAGCTCAACGTGGGACAATTCTAAAAGTTTACCCTAATTCTAGATCCTCCTGTGAAGTTTGCTGAGACTGTTGTTGGACCTACATTGTAGCTCAACTTCCCTCTTTGTCCACACCTGCTTCTTTCCACAGATGTCAATCCCCTGAACATTATCTTAATAAGCATCCTACACACTAAACTCTGTCTTGGAGTTTGTTTCATGGGAAATTAAAACTGTGCCACTTGAAATTGGAAGTTATCTAAGAAAGGTGGCACTAAGATAATTATTTGGGAGTTACATCAATCACTGCCCAGTTGGTCATGAGGAATAAGACCAATGGAGTTTGCTGGTTATTGAGATATAAAGAAGATTAAACTCCTAGGGAAGACAGACTGGCTATGTAAAA